GAGCAGAAAATGGCAAACCTGCCTAATGAGAGAATGGAAACAACTCCTCCGTTTACATATTGTGGGATGGATTGTTTTGGCCCATTTTATGCCAAAGAAGGGCGTAAAGAGCTCAAACGCTATGGACTCCTGTTCACGTGCTTGTGTTCCCGCGCGGTACACATTGAATTACTCGATGATCTGTCAACTGACGCCTTCCTTAATTCACTCCGAGCTTTCATTGCCATACGAGGAAATGTGCGGCAGCTGCGATCAGACCAGGGTACTAACTTTGTTGGGGCAGGGCGAGAATTTCTGGAAGCAGTAAGAGAAATGAACCAGGAAAGCCTGAAGAAACTCGGATGTGAGTTTGTTATGAACCCTCCCTCTGCCAGTCATATGGGTGGAGTCTGGGAGAGGCAAATTCGTACAATCAGAAGTGTGTTGTCCTCCATCCTAGATCAGTCTTCCCGGACACTTGACATTTCATCATTACGGACTTATCTTTACGAAGTGATGGCCATAGTAAACAGTCGACCCATCACTCCTCACCTACTCAATGATCCTACCGGACCTCAACCACTCACTCCCAATCTTCTTTTAACAATGAAGACATCTGTAATACTACCACCTCCAGGAGACTTTGTGCAGCAGGACTTGTACCTTCGCAAGAGATGGCGTAGAGTTCAATACCTAGCCAATGAGTTCTGGCACAGATGGAGAAAAGAATATTTGTTGGGCCTACAGCAAAGACAAAAATGGCAGAAAACAAGGAGAAATGCGAAAGTCAATGATATAGTCATCATCAAAGATGAGACGGCACCACGAAATGACTGGAAACTCGCTAAGGTCACAGCAGTTTATCCAAGTGAAGATGGATGTGTGCGGAAGGTGCAGTTATTGATCAGTGACTCCACCTTAGATTGCCATGGAAGACGACTCACCAAACAAATTCACTTAGACAGACCTATTCATAAGACAGTCACATTGTTAGAAGCAGAATAGATCCACTCATAAGTTCAAATAGAAATCACAAGTGATTTGGTGGGAGTGTGGCTGCTGTCAGGACAACTGCCTCTTGTTTTTTATTTTTGTTTTTTATGTTTAAGGTGGCAGTAGTAATTTTATTGGTTTTATGTTGGGTGTACATTGGAATATAGAGGGGGAACTTTTGTTCCGCGCGGCATGTGTTGCCCGGGGAACTTTGGCTGGCGCATTTTGGAGCCATGTGGGTCATGCGGGCTGGAGAGACTGTGAGAAGATTAGACTTTATTCCTCTGGAGTTGATGCAGCTAATGAGGTACAGTTTTGTTGTATGGATCTTTTGTTATATTGTGCCATTTGTTGTGAACTGATTTAGGTTGTGTTACCTTTTTTGTAGTTCTGACGGCATTTTTTGAGGACCTAGAAGAACGTGTCTGAAATAAATGGCTGTAGAAAATCAAGAACTGCGTTAAGTTTAATTGAACTCGAGAGGAGTAACAGAGACAAACAGCTGCTTTGTGCACTGCTGGGTCACTGGTGATACTAGAATTACCAGTTTACATTACTGTGTCTTTACCATTGTTTTAGTTATGATAATATTGGCCTTGTCATCACGAGACAAGATTATCCCATTTCATGAGGCATTTGAGAAAAAAAAGTTTTCAAGACTGGTCCACAGATTTCTTTCAGCAGCAACAACTTGCAGAGAACTAAATGTTTGAAACATGTAACGCAACAATGACTCTCCTGTGGGAGCATCACTTTTACAGTTAAAGCACTCTAACAACCAGCCTTCAAACTGTCTCTCCTCTCAATAAGCTAATAGGTCTAATGTGTCTAAATTGATTTCTGGGAGCCTTCAGCCTCGTCCTTCCTCCTGTCTCTTCCTCTTTCTTTGCATCTGATTTACAGCGTTTTTCACCCAAGCTTTGGTATAGTGTTAGGTTTGCTGTGCATGCAGACTTCACCCAGACACCTGATCTAAATAATAAAGAAACTGTAGCTTGGCGATTTACAAGCATATAAAGTAGCAATCTTTATTTATTGGAGATGTGGAAAAGCATCTGCAAGCTCCTGATGTAATAGACTGCACTCTTTAATTAAGGTTTGCGTCGTCACCAAGTCAGACCTCTACGACCATCATGGTTATTGTGGAGAAAAGATAAAGAAGAGGAATAAATGAATAAATATCTGAATTTTTTAGATTTCTTGCATGTACTTAGAGGGGGAAAAAAAATTAAAAGTCAGAAATTTGCAACAACAAAAAAAGCGAAATCCACGATGAAAATTATTATTTTAAAAAAGATTTTCTGGCATTAAAAAGTGACAAATTTGTAAAACAATTTTTTTTTTTTTGAGACGTTTAGTCATATTATTTTAAAGTCAAAGTAAATTTTCATTTCTGTGTTATAAACAAATAAAGAGCTGATATTTAATGGGTATATTATGCTTGAACCCGGACATGTGCAGAACGCCATTTTTTGATTGTGACATAAATAGTTTTACTCGTGTATTTTCTTATACCAGGGTCATTCTGTCAAATCACTATGTAAACTCACTTGCCAGTTTATTAGGTACACTTTGCTAACATAACATCAAGTTGCCTTCAGCTGAACTGCCTACAGAGTCATAATATCCCCTGTGAACCATACAAATATGTATAGAACATCCTAGATGCTTTCAGATATAAAGCTGTAGACAGAAATGTCTCAGACATAAAAACAAAACAAAACAAACAAAAAAAAATACAGCATATATTATCACCCAGTTCTGAATTAATTAATATATGTAGTCATATAGAACCCGACCTTACTTTAAACATATCGTCAGCTTTTTCCCTGACTGGGTTTCTCGGTCTCCATGACAGTGCTTGTTCTCAATTTACTAATGAGATGACTTGTGACCACTCTGTGTGTGTCCATCAAGTAAAAAACAAACAAACAAACAATAAAATATCAAAGTTTGTGAATGTAATCTGACAAGATAATAACCTTCCTAAAATAATAGCCTAAGTCTTTTTTGCCAAAAGATGGCAAAAAAAAAACTTTGTCATCATTATAGGGACGTGATGACATGAGAGTTTGTGTCTATTGGGCAGCACAAAAGTTGTAACCTGGCTATTGCTGCTTAATTCTCGTCTCTACTGGTATTTCTCCTATTGACTTGGATTCCTTCAGTGTCATTTTTTACCAAGAATAGAATAAGTTGCAAACGATGAGACTGATTTTCTACGCTGTAGTTTTAGCGATGGCAGCAGAGGAAGTGAACAAAGCTGTTCTGTCTGCGTTGGTCGCGCTTTCAAATACTGAATCAAAACTAACAGGCATCTGGTTTGGGTCAACACTTCTCTGTTCACAGTGCCGGATGGTTGTTTACGGCACAGACAATTTCTGTTAAGCTTCATGGCATATATTACATACCTTGGGGACAAAGTTTCAAACGCCTCCAGGAAGCAATCATTTCTCAGAGAGTTCAGACCCTCTGGATGAAGTAAAGCATAGAACAGAGGGATTTTTTTTTTACCATACTGCAAAAACTGTATCGATTATAGTTAATAATAACTGTCATCAAAAATGTTGAATTAAAAGAGAAGTCTTTGAATCAGATGATTTTTTTTTTTTTTTTTACCAATAATTTGCCTGGGCTTTAAAACCATTGCTGCCTGGTAGAAGTTTTCAGCTCAGACGCCACCCTCCTGTGAAAGGAATTTCCCTTCCCACCACATCGACTTCCCTCTGAACGCCCCGCGACTCAGCCCAGCTGAGTGGAGCTCAGCTGGGCTGAGCGTGACCGGGGCGTGTATTATTGGGTGCCGACCCAGAGGAGATCTGCAGGTTGATCCTTAGGGACAGCCTGTGGGCCAAAGCCACAAATAACAGCAAGGCGTCTTGTTTACCAGGACCCTCCAGCCTGCCTCAGATTACCGCCTGGTGCTTTGAAGATGGCCGATGGTCAGGCAGGGATTTCCCCCTGCTTCCCTGCCAGAAAAAGATTGAGTCATCACCCGCTTTACCACCCGCTGCATATCTTTAATGACGTCTGAAAAAAAAAAAATAGAAAATAGGTATGGTGATGTAGAAACCAGATAAAAGAGGCATCAAAGATCTAAGACAAAAGTTTCACAGTGAGGTGATTCCTAATTTCACAGTGATGTTAGCAGAGTAACACAAGTTTTAGTCAACTTTAGGAAAAGGGCAATTCCTCTCCTAGTCTTTGTTTATCAAAGGCAGGAGGCTCAGTTTTGGGGTTTTGTTACACCACAGTTAATAAAATGAACGAAACTGATTATTATGTCTAATACCAATGCTTTACATTGGGGGCAAAAAGGAGGACACTTGTAGATGTTCATATAGGAGCCAGTACTGGACGGAAACAATAAAGATTCAAGACATCCAAGTTATTTAAAACATGGATTCTGAACCGTCTCAGAGCCAAATTCGTCCAGCATCTCCTGCTCTGTGTTACTGTACCAGGAGACCAGTATAACCGAGTCCCAGTCCATTAGCATGACTTCATTTTCCAGACCTTTTTCTCAGGTTTAAATCAAATTAATGAACCAGGGCTGCACAGTAGGTAGCACAGCTGCCAAGCAACAAGAAGGTGCTGGGCGGGTAGATAGGTAGGCAGGTAGGTTGGTTTTATCAGTCCAACTCCTTGCATAAAAGAACAAATCAATATTAATAAAAAATTTAAATTAAGAGTATATAAAAATAACAGTGACCCTCATTGGTGGAGTTAATTTCAGGAAACACATCCTCTTCCCTGAACGTGATAGAAACAGTTTGATTTGTGTTTAATCAAATGAAATAGCCTACAGAACATTTTAAGCTGACCTCCTGCTGCGTCCCATTTCCTAATGGTGACCCCTCCCTGCCCACCAAGACCCTGTAGCTTTAATTAAGGGTGGCTGGCCTAGTGACGCGCATCACGGAAAGTTCCCAGGACGTTCCTGCGCTGCCGCGGAGCACTGAGCAGTAAAAAGCCTGGAGCCAAACCCAGAGTCGACTTATCCAGTCGGGACACCCGCTGGCAGAGGGCATTCCCTCTGCACCAAACCGAGAAACTTTCTAACGCAGCACCTTGTGTGGGAGGAAATACCACGAAGCAGTTTTTTTATTCGCATTAAGAAGAAACCACACCCACTGCTGGGATTCACTCTGAGGCTGGACACGGCAGGGAGGACAGCATCGCGGTGCACAGACTGATCTGTGAGTAGGAGCGACTGATCAAAGTAAACGTTATCGAGTTTATCTATTATTATTAGTTTACGACTTTCTACATTAACTTTTTTATATATATTTATAGATTAACATTTTTCCGTTTAGGATTCCATGCTGCGTAAAAGTTCCAGCCAATCAGAGTCGTGCGTAAAAGTTTCTTTTGGAGAACATGCGTAGCTTTTGCGTCCCAGAGGCCGCTCAAAGTTTTCCATCAGGAGTTGGGACTCTCCTGTCAGAGCCCGCTCTGTTGCTCGCTCCCACTCTGACCTCCAGAAGGCTGACCCATCCTGAGCCGCGGCGGGGTTTGGCATGTTGCGGGCCTGAACTCATGGACAGCGCTGACATGGCTGAGGAGGAGCCCCGGGTGTCCCTGGAAGCTGCTGACCTTTGGAAGCAGTTCCACACACACTGCACAGAGATGGTCATCACTAAATCCGGGAGGTAAATAAATAGTCCAGATTTACGCATGCGAGCCGGAGCGCGGTGTAATGTCTCGTGGTGAATCTCCTCTCCTTCCTGCCAGGCGCATGTTCCCGCCGCTCAGAGCCAGGTGTACGGGCATGAACAGGAAGGCCAAGTACATCCTGCTGATGGACATCGTGGCCGCGGATGACTGCAGGTATAAGTTCCACAACTCGCGCTGGACGGTGGCCGGGAAGGCGGACCCGGAGATGCCCAGACGCATGTACATCCACCCGGACAGTCCTGCCACAGGAGAACAGTGGATGTCCAAAGCGGTCAACTTCCACAAGCTAAAACTGACCAACAACATCTCCGATAAGCATGGATTTGTAAGTTTTACTTTCAGCGCTTTAGTTACAATTAGCTACTCCAAAAGGCTTACAGACATATTGAGAGCAATGTTTTCAAAATGATAAAGGTGTCAGTGTTTTTAATGGTTCATGTTGTACCCAAGTGCAGAGAGACAGAAGCAAGGAGTGGAGTAGCCATAAGCAGCAAATGAAAACTATTTCATTTAATAAGTAAAATGCTACATTAAAAAGTAAATCACAAACTTACAAAAAACACATGGAGCCCAGGAAGACAGAGTCGAACAAAAAGTAATCCACAATGAAAAGTCAGCAAGGAGACATGGGGAGAAATCAGGGAAGAAGTAGAAGGAGGAACCAGTGAGGAGCGAATAGGAGATGTGATTCAATACTGGGAGAGTGAAAGCTGGAACAGTATAGACCGGGGTTGATGAGCTAACTGGTTGGGTGTGAGGGGAGAGAGAGAGAGGACCAGGAAGTGACATGGGGCCAGGGAGACCACACTGGGAACTATAAACTAAATCTAACAAAATATAACTAAAAACAAAACAAATCTAACTAAAATAACAATCAATCAATTAAATTTAATTTGTAAAGCACATTTCAGCAGCAACAAGGCATTTCAAAGTGCTTTACATCATAGCAAACACAAAAAGACAAAGTCATGCAACATAGACTCAACAATCAAAACATTACATTAAGTCAAGAGCCATCATTAAATTTGTAATTGATTACGTATCAAATACAATTCTAAACAGGCAGGATTTTAGTCAAGATTTAAGGGACGTCAGTGTTTCAGCTGTGACTAAAAACGGACTAGACATAAGAAATTAGCATAACTAGAATCATTGATAAGGAACTGGAGTAAAAGTGGATAAAGGCAGAACTAACAGAAATAAGAAACCTAGGAGCGCAAATAAGAAAAAAAAAATTGACAAAACCAAGGATCCTGACAAAAAAAAAAAACTGAACTCATTTGATTTGTTCTTCATCTGTCTTGCACAGACAATTCTGAACTCGATGCACAAATACCAGCCGCGGTTCCACATAGTGAAGGCCCATGACATCCTGAAGCTTCCGTGCAGCACCTTCAGGACCTACGTTTTCGCTGAGACGCAGTTCATCGCAGTGACAGCGTACCAGAACGACAAGGTGAGAGTCTGAATCGTCAGCCGGTTCATTCTGCTGAAATCTGTTCAATTTTTTAGGTGATAGGAGCCGGTCCTGTAATCGGTGGGTTGCCAGTTTCAGTCTGAGTTGTTATGGTTGCAAGACACTTCACCCAGCTGGCTCGTTGGTGAAGGTCAGAGGCAACGCGTTGCAGGCATCTATTTCCAAACAAGGGAACATTAAATATCTTGTCTTTGTAATGAATTCAATTGAATAATATTCTGTTTTTGATTTATTATTTTTTTACACCCCACCTTCATTGAAATTTTGGTTGTACAACTTAGTCACCATAAGGACATCATTTTTAAAGAAGTGTCTGTGTTTTACATATGAACAGATCACACAACTGAAAATTGACAACAACCCTTTTGCGAAAGGATTCCGGGACACTGGGAACGGACGGAGAGAGAAGAGGTGAGATGGAGATGCAGTGCTGCTGCAGCTTTAGATATTTACATGCAGACTGGACTTGACCTATGAACCTGGGAGGGATTAGTTCCTCAGTTTAATGACTGATGGGTAGAAAAATATTTCTATATTTGCCTAAAATATGGAGGTGAGGTCTTGCTTATATTAAAATTCAGCTTTAGTCTCTGCAGCACTTTTTCATTTTAATGGAATGATGTAAGTAATTAATTTCCAATACTTAATTCAGCATAGTAGGGAATAATTTACAGTAAGAAGCAGTCAGCACAGCTTACACAGCAAATGATAATAAACAGCAGACAGTAGAAAAATAGAAATGGAAAAATGCTTTTAGGAGAAGTTTTACTTCATAATACTTTGTACTTTGACTTTACTAATATTACAAAGCACTGTTACTCTTTTAATCAAATATGTAATACAGTTTTATGTTCATGGTAATAAAATATTTTCTTCTTTTGTTTGCTTAATTCTGTTCTTTTTTTTCTTTATGCAAATAAATGCTTCTGGATTTCTGTGAACTGAATTACTTAAAGTGCAGATAGTGCTTAGGTAATAAGCTTCATGTTTAACCTCTGATTGATAGCAGATTTTAAAACCCTTTAACTTTTTATATCAGGGAAAATATTGTGTTGTTTTTTTTTTTTCCTTCATCAGGAAGCCCCAGCAGTCTGGACGAAGGTGCAGAGAGGCGGATGGGAAGTGTGCTCCGGCAGCTGACTGCGGTGACGTCAAGTCTTCAGGTGCGGAAAGCTTTCGCTCAGTTTGTGAGACTTTCCCTAACCAGCGTCTTTGTTCCCACCAGATGCTTACAGTGACAGCGACAAAAGCTTTAACAGTGAGGAGTGTCCTGAACCAAAGCTGTTTAGAAGTTATCATGGAGACCAGTCGGGGATTTCCTTCACTCTGCAGGGCTCCCATCCCACAGAAAACTCCATCAGAAGTGATGTAATGCGCGGCAAGCAGGACTCAGGCAGGGAGCGCTCACTCTGCAGCAGCTTTGCACCCAACTGTGTTTACTCTCCGGACTTTAACCGACACCTGTTGGATGTGAACGCCTCTGGCCATCTCCTCCATTTGACACAAGTAAACAGCTGGTACAGATGTGCCGCTGATGGAGGCTTGCGGTGTGGTTTCAGACCGGCAGCGCCTGCTGGGACTCCGCTGTCGGTCGCCCTCAAGCAGCACACAGGGCTCCAGGTACGAGGCAGCCAACCAAAGGCTTTCACTGGGGAAGACAGGAATCTAGCTGAAACACTATCTGATAGAGCACTGTTGCTAGAGCAAGTAGGTCCTGGGTTCAAATCCCAGCCTGGGTTCTGTCTGCATAGAATTAGCATGTTTTCCCTGTGCATACATTGGTTCTCTCCAGGTACTCCGACTTCCTGAAACATGACTGTTAGGTAAACTGGGTTTGTGTCTCTTTGTGTCTGGTGACTGGTTCAGGAGAATCAGTCACCTTTATTTGATCCTTTAGAGATTAAATGTAATAAAAACGTTCAGACGGCTGGTTAGCAAACACCACACACCTCAGTCATGTCAGGGAGAAACATAAGTAAAATAAATTCAGACAGAGCATACTACTTTTTATCACATTGGTAAACTGATTACTTTTTTTGAACTCTTCCTAATAAATAAAATAAATCAAGGCCATTTGTAAAAATTTATATGGTTTGTTTTACAGAACCATAATTTAAATAGGCAGTACTATGTATTTTCCAGACACACTGTGCTGTAAAATATTATCAAGTTACTACGTTTACTTCAATTGTTATAAAAATGATACGCATACCAAACAAGAATTAAAAGAAATTTTACTTTGCCTAGAAATTGAGGCTCTGTTTCTTTAAGAAGCTCCTCCTCCTTCCGACACTCCGCCTTCAGCATGTCATCACAACAGTGCTCCTCCATTATGTCAAACACGACTGTTCTTGGACTGAGAAGTAGTTCATGTGGTGAGCTCAACAGATGGGCAGCTCCACCAGGTGTTCGCTAATTGCTGCCGCTAGTCTAGGGGAGCTGAGTGGATAAGTGACAGGGTTGGGGGTAGGAAGGCGGGGCTTTGTGAGATCAAACGTTTAGGCGCCTGTAAATGGTTGCAATGGGAGATTAAAGGAGGAGACTGAACCCTTTTTCTTGGACAGCAGCCCAGTCGGTTCAGCCTCTGGGTGACAGAGCTCAACAGGCATCTCGGACTTCATTATCAGCTCGGGGACTAAACTACCTAAAATTGAATACAAGCAAAAATGATAATGATTAAATCAAAAAACTGCAGATAATTTATAGTCATTTTTAAGTAAGATTAGCAGTCTAAATCAAGTTTGTATTTTTTAATTTGCAAATGAAATCTGTGCTTTTAAAAACTGATGTTTAATTCCCTCCACATTTGCTTTTTCCAGTGTTTTAATCTGATCTAACTGTAAATTGAGGATTAAAAGCCTTTAAGCCACGTGGCAAACACTTCACAATGTTTTCTTTACTTCTACCGTGCAGGATGTGATGAGCCTCCCACCATATGGAGGCTTTCTCTTCTACCCGTACTCCCCCATGAGTTCGTCAGTCCGGCACCAGATCCCGGTCACGCAGTCCATACTGGATCCCAATTCCTCTCCCAGAGGTTCTGCACAGAGTTTATTCTCCTCTCCGGTTTTATCCACATCTGTTCTCCCATCAAAGGAAAGCAGCTTCAGCTCCTACAAGCCAGAGTTACCAGCAGGGGGAGAAATCTGACTCAAATTTCGACTGATCTGCTGAGACTAAATGTGATTTAATGTCCCAGTCCTCCGTACCGCCTGCAGTGTAGACTCAGAGGATGAATGAACGGCATTCTCTTAGACGCTGCATGAACTGAATGACAGTAATCTCTTTCATGTTTAAACTTATGGTTTCCATTGATTGATTTTCAAATGATGCAATAAAAACATGTTAGCTCTGATCTCTACAAATGGTAACTGTTCAAGAGGGTCCCCTGTTTTTTAGTAGCATCTGGGTAAATGCAACCTAAGATGAATAACAATACTTCACATGTTATATAAAGTGTCATAATTTTTAATTATTTAAATCAACCAAGGCAAAATGTGGGAACAGTGTCTGAACATCTAATTTCACTCTGGTTAAAAACACATATAGTAACAGCATCTTCATTTCATTGGCTCTACTGTATTACTATGGAAATAACTCTTGATACCATAATCTTGAACTCAATGTGGTAGAAACTTATATGCTGAATATAAATGCCAGCTGTGGTATATGGGATTTTTATTGGAAAACAAAAACAAACAAAAAAAAAACAAATTGACTATTTTAATCTTTGTATTGGCCAACCAAATGAAATTCAAGTAAGTAACATTGAATTTTGTAATGTGTGTTATGAAACCAAATGTGAAATCTTTCAAAGGGTAATAGCTTTTCAAGGCTTTATATGTCTCAGCCCGAATTAGTCCTCTTAATTAAGTGGTTACTTCACACTACAGTCCAGTTGGTGGCGGTAACGCGTCCAAAAGTCAATAAACTCAAAACAGGAAGAAGAAGAATCTCTGAAAAACAATCAAGAAGGAGAGGCTGTTTGGTACCTCTGTGATGATGCAGAGCCAATTTCTGTGGATTCCCGCTGCTGTCTGAGGGGAACCATGATTTCAGTCAGCTACATCCTGCTCTGCGGACAGTTCCTGCTGCTGTTTGCTGCGATTTTGTTGCAATGTCTGGAAGGAATTCATTCCCAGAACTCGAGCACCGCAGGTTCCACCGCTGCTCCGGCTGCTTCTCCCACACAGGGAGCCTCCTCGCTGCCCTCCAGCGAGCCGCCCGAGCCGACGCAGAATGAAACCCCGGCGGAGAACAACACGGAGCCGTTTGAGTACAGGCCCCCGTCCCCAGTCGTCCTCTGCAGCCATCTGTGAGTAACCCAGAAGCTAGCATCGTTAGCTCTTGCTAGCTACATTCAGAGCAGAGGGGGAATCTGTTACATTGGAACTATTTCCATGGTAACCAAGAGCCTAAACCAGTTCACGTATTTGTTAAAAAAATATATAGATTTTTTTCTTTTAAATGGAAATGTAGAGAAAATAGTTACGTTCCTTGTTCAAGGTTTCAGCTTTTATTGTCTCCGTGACGTACTTCCTGCTGCAGCTTACCTGCTAAACCCATCCTGGCATGAATGTTGTTTTTTAGTAGTCTGAAGGTAACGTGGAGCTTAATTTAAGGATTCCCCGGGTTCTTTCTCTGGGTGGTGCTGAAGGTTCTAGAACAGGGGTGGGCACTCCAGGTCCTCGAGGGCCGGTCTCCTGCAACTTCTAGATGTAGCTCTACTTCAACACACCTGAGTCAAATAATGATGTCATTAGCAGGACTCTGGAGAACTTGATTGCATTTAGGAGGTGATTCAGCTGTTGGATTCAGGTGTGTTGGATCAGGGAGACAACCAAGAGTTGCACAACACCGGCCCTCGAGGACCAGGAGTGCCCACCCCTGTTCTAGAATCTCTCTGAATGTCTGACGAATAAAACCCTAACAAAATCTTGATAGTGGTCACATATAACTGCTGATGGTATTTCCCATTTGTCAGTTTAAAACTGATTTGTTTGACAGCACACATTGGATTTGCCAAAGTTAAAATATCAAAGCAACCCACATAAAAATCTTTTAGAATGACTGCAGCATGTTAGAGCAGCTATGCCATGTTAGCTCTGATTGGTTCTTTTACTAATTTTCCTTTTTTTGGGGGTTGAATCCTTGCATGTTTAGACCTGCTAGTCCCTGGTTCTGGAAGGATTTTGCTTTAATAAAATCCTTTTGGAAAGTATAACTATGGCAATAAGGTTGATTCTACAACCAGAAGCAGCCGATCAGCATCTCAAAATCTCAAGTAGCAAATGAGCAGATGGTTAACGCCCTCATACTAGATTGTCTTGCTAAAAGAATCTCTCCCTCTCTACGTTGTGTAATCTTTCCTCCTTCTTGGTTTTTCTGTAACGCCGCACCTGTGCTGAAGGCCTGAGGAGTTCATCTACTGCCAGGATCCGGTGGACCATGCAGGAAACTACAGCGCCTACCAGGAGATGGGCCACGGCTGCGTTTGGGTCAGTACCATCCTCTGAGAGCGTCTCGGTCGTTAAACCCTCAGCTCATCTCCACGTTGTGCTCTTGTTCAGTGGGGGGGACAGACGAAGAAAGAAGTGAACCACACCCAGGTCATCTGCACCGCCCTGGACGACATAGAATGTGCCGGACCCCGGGAGTTCCTCCGAGGCGACGTGCCTTGCATCAAGTAAGAGGCGACCCAGACGGCTCAGTGCTGCTGTACTCGTTCACTTCCATCCAGACATAGAATGGAGTATCGGGGAGTTTGGTGTAAAGCGTTATGGAGAAAAATGTATCCAAGCATTGTTGCGATGGTTTGTTGATATTGTTAACGATGTTAATGCTGATAAAACACACGTAGTTATACGCCCAAGGTTGTAACAGAGCTTTGTCTAGTTAACCCTGACTCTGCTTTCCTGCATTATAAAAATGAGGTTTGCTGGAATTATTTAGAAAAAGCCCAATACCAGCAATCCTGTAGTGAGGCCAGTCAGCCCCTGGTTCACCTGGATTTTGATAACTAGACCACGCCCTGTTTTGTCCGCTGGAGTCCTTCAGGCCTGTCAGTATTGATCCGAGGAGTTGAGGCTGACTCTCACCTGGATCAACACATGAAGTCAGTGATGGCCTCCAGCTTTCACGTTGTTCCCTCGCTGTCATTGCTGCTGCACCCATCATGAAGCATGTGTTGGAGGATTCAGAGCTGGTTTTGTCTCTTTTCTTTTGTTTATGTCCTGATTTGTTCTTGTGGTTACCGTGGCGATCATGGCTCAGTTAGGAGGTTAAGTGCAACAAACTGCTGCTGTTGCTGGAATGCAGGCTGAACACACTTTTTATACTTCCCCACCAGAGGGCACTGTTTACTCACTTTTGGAACCACCATAGGTTATTGCACTGCTGCAGCATATTAACCTGTGAAACAGACATTATTTAACTGCTGTTAAATCATCTTCTGCTTCCTCCACAGATACACAGGACACTACTTCATCACCACGCTGCTGTACTCCTTCTTCCTGGGCTGCTTTGGCGTCGATCGCTTCTGCCTGGGCCACACAGGCACAGCCGTGGGGAAGCTGCTCACCCTGGGAGGCCTGGGAATCTGGTGGTTCGTGGACCTGATCTTGCTCATCACCGGCGGTCTGATGCCCAGCGACTACAGCAACTGGTGCACCTACTACTGAGGCGGGCGGCATCAGCCTGCAGTGGGAGTGTGTGGGCTGTGTCTGAGTGGAACCCTGAGGCCTCTGGGGTATTCTAGGGACCGAGTCCACAAGATGAGAGTTGATGTGTTCTCTTGGAGTTGCAGAGGAGCAGCAGTTGCTGTTTTCATGACTTTTGGTTCATTATAGCCTCGATGAGTCAAAAAAATGGTTTGGTCTATTTTCTTTGTATTTAAGGTAATTTATTTACAACAAATATGGACAGAAATGACTCTTTAAGGTTTTACTTCATAAATGTACTATTGGTAAATTTCAACCTGAATTCAGGATGTAGTTTAAAACCATGTGTCCTGAAGTCTGATGCTTGTGACCAGTTGTAAAAAATATTCTTTTGCCACAAACATGTTGCTTTTTATAATGTTTATTGTTGTTGTTTTTACTCCCCAGAGCTGTATCATTTGAACAGAAAAGCAACACATATTCCTACTGTTGCTATATTGTTGCTTTTACTCATTTTACTTTTTTTTTTCTTCTTTTTTTTGATATGTTGAACTTAAAAAAAGTAAATAAAATGTAGCAGAAGTATCTGTTAATTAATGTAAGATGTATTTTATTGATCCCAGAATTGGGAAACTACTGGGCAGCAGGGCATACAGAAAACACACAATATGCTTGACATAAGTAAGAATGAAATATAGAATATAATGTAAATGTCTATACAACAATATACTGCTCTAAAATATGTATGGCGAAGTTACCTAAACTCTCGGTTGTTTTCACTTAAACTTTACCAGTGAAACAAACAAGTCTTAAACACTCTTCTAGAGTTGCTGCTGTTGCTGCTGTCCGTAAACATGTTTTGCACACAGAACACCGTTATTCTGCAAAGATGCCATCTGTCTTCTCAGTACAGCTGAAGTATTCCCACATTGATTCCTTCAGACGGGGTGACTGGAAGTCCGGAGCAATCAGCCGTCAGAGAACTTTCATAGCTAACAGCTAAACAGAGGAATCTCTGATCAGGAAAAAAAAAAATCAAATCCCACAGGAACTGTGGATAGGCTTGAAACCGTGAATTTTTCATATCGTGGTATATCCGCTAGACGAGAAGCTCAACCTCTCATGGTTTCCAAGGTTACTACAGAAAGTTTGAATTTGCCAAATTGAGTCATGACTGAAATGGATTGGGCTGTGGTTCTGCCTGCTCTGACCCAGCCAGTGACCTCATGTTCACTGCATCTGCTTTGTTTGGATTAAGTAAATTTGGACTATTTCCTTTCTTTCATGGTGTCACGTCACATAAATCAAGATTTCAATGCCAAATCATGATTTGTTTGTCATTCTTCCTTCACTGATGTGCACACGCAGGTCAAAGGTTCACCGTCAAAACAAGCAGACATTTGGTTTGTGCCTGGAATGGATTTCTGTTGATTTTCACCTGCTCTCATTCAACAAACCCTGAGAAATCAGCTCGTTTTCTTTCTGTCACAAACTGCCACCGACGTGTTGTTGAACATTTAGAAACTCCTACTATCCCCCTGATGATGTGTTTTCACTCAGCGGTGATCTTCCAAAACATTCAGCTGCTTCTTCAGGTCACAGCCTGTATAATTTACATGTCGGTTTTGACAGGATCATCTCAGCAGTTTGGTATTTTAAAGCTTCCTGTTTTGACTGATTACAATTGCTGTCCTTTCACACAAGAAAAAAATGAAGTTGCAAACCCCAAGATAAAGTAATGTTTGGGTGTTTTTTAACATACATATGAGGAATATTAGGATTTTCAGAGCAGTGTTACTACGTCCAGCTGCTGAGCTTTGCCCCATTAAAGACCTAATCTTAAACAAATCTCCATCTTCCCTGACTTCCTCCAGTGAGGCTTAGGTCTCAGGTTAGACCATTATTAAATATTTAAAACTTCTTCTCCTGTTTATTCTTTAAATGTCTTCTAAGTCAACCAATCGCTAGCCGTTTGACCAGCAGCAATCGTTTGACCAGCAGCAATCGTTTGACCAGCTGACATTTATTCTGCCCTGAGACTAAAACACATGAAAGGTCAGAGGTCACACTTTAAATATAATATCTGCATTTCCATTGATAATATAATCGTGCAACTTGACAGTTTAAAAAATAAATATGCTTAACGGAAACATGTCAGTTTTGAAAAAACACCTTTTTTGATAAAAACGTCTTGGTGTGAGGATAAGGTGGTTCATTTCGCAAAACTACAATGAAAAGACTTTTTGCATCACACGAGTCACATGATCAGCATCTACTGGCTTTTTAATGACTCAGTGTGAACAAACTTGTTCATATGAGTTGCTGACTGTATTTTTCATTTAGCACCTCAATTTCACCTCAATTGCGAAATTGTGTTTTTTCGACATTAGCGCAACACAGACAAGAGTTCTGCGTACATCTGGAAAGGAAACGCAGCTAATGAGCCACAGGATTCTTAAAGTACATCAAAATATGTCATGCAGATTTTCTCAGTCTAACCTAAAACCATCATACCCGGATAAACTCATGCTTCACTTCGGCTGGATTTCATACTCTCAGCTCAATCCATGCTGTGTGTTTATGGATTTGCCCTGTATGATTCACGTGCTGATCACTGTTGAGAAAATATACCTGCTATTTTCTTGTCTTGAAAGAAAAGTCTTTCAGCCACTTCACAAAAGTCACATGTGAGCCCCCAGAAAGTCCAGTTGATCTGGAAGCGGTTGAGTGGAACCCAAAGTGTCTCATGTTGTTAATCACAGCTCCTGCTCCGCATGAATCAATAAAAACCTTCTTGTTCTGGGTGTTCTCTGAATTCTCTTGATCTGATTTAATGAGCAGAGGGCTTGATGAAAGAGATTGTCTCTACCCATTACTTCCAACAATATTGACCTGGGTAAGGTTACAAGATTAGGATTGATTAAGCTAATTGTGTTCCTTCATCGATGCAGCGGTCGTTGTGCACAACGTGTCCAGCAGCAGTGGAAAACAAAACCTAATAGAGTTTATTAAAGAGACAAACATTGTTTTCAAAAGCGGAGAGCAGAGATGAAGCTGGACTAGCTTCTTTCAGAGACAGAAGGAATTCTGATTTTTTTTATCTGAAAAAATTAGGAGAGTGGGATAAATGCAACAAATTAGATGTAACCTGTGGTAATTCTTAAATGTCATGTAACTGCCTTCATCATGAAGCCCGGATTCATTTTATGTTATTTAAAATAAATATGTTTCTGCCACAAAGTGGGTCCAGAGATGTTCACACCGCCGTCTTTCATTTCAGCATGATAAGTGCATACTGGACTGAAAGATGATGCACTCTAGTGTACGCTAGTATACATGCCAAAAATGTTGCTTAGCTGGCAGGTTTTCCTGTGCATATTATGAGTGAACCATATGTTCAACCTCATATTCTTTTACAACCGTAAATCTGCTGGAATCTCTCCACAGCGCCTCCTGATAACTGTTTAAAATGCTGCATAAGACCCTTCTCACCCTTTAATAAATGTGTGTCATCACACACACACACATACACACATGCACATATATATATATATATAATATATATATATATATATATATATATATATATATATATATATATATATATATATATATATATATGTAGAGAGAGAGAGAGAGAAAGGAGGAACACGCTCCAAACGGACGAGGACACTGAATTTTTTGGCCTCTTTCCAAAAAGCTACCGATGATGATAAGACAATCTTGAATAACACAGTATGTCTACTGTGTAACATAGCAATGGCATCATCATGATGAAGTAACTTCTTGACGACGGTGGAGAAAAACCTCATTGAGGCTGCAGAAGACTGGAGCCGAGGGTGGAGCTTCACCCTCTATGAGGACAACATCCCTAAAAATGCAGCCGGTTCTTCTCTGGAATTGTTTAGATCAAATGAAAGGTCTTCAAGTGTTATAAAGACAGAGTCCAGGACGAATTCCACTTGAAAATAATGGAAGAGCGAACAGAATCCACTCCCTATTCATGATAACTGCATCATTTTCCTTCCACTTCACCCGTAAGCACCACTTGTGTTAGTGTTTTATATAACACCTCAATAATATACATTTAGGTTTTGTGGCTGTTATCTAGTCAAATGTGAAAAAAGTTCTGTAGGGCACTTTACACTGATTGTCCCTGCTTGTTGTTCATAAGCAGCACCAACAAATTTACCCTCATTCATTGAAACAACTGCAGCAGAAGAGTTCTAGTTCCCCACTTTAGATAGTTTTGCTAAATTAGATTTAGAACACATTGTAGAGGTTTATGAAATAAATAGAAAACTGGCCAGTTGGGTTATTATAGTGAGGGTATCTAAAGAAAAACTGCTTTTAAGGTACTTCCAAGAAATGGCAATGGATTATTGAGAGTAATCGTCACATAACTGTGGAAGCATGGGCTGGTAAAGGAATATTCTTCCACCTGTAAGCAGCACGAAGAGAATTACAATCCAAAGTGTTGCATTGTGACAGAAGGAAATACATCAGATAACTTTTTATTTGTTGTGCCACCAGTAGCAGCAGGTGTGGAAATGGTTGGAAAGAGATTGCTGTTGTACAAAATATAAGAAAATGTGTGTTTACTACTTAGCGTGTTTCCTTCTTATTAAATGGTATCACATTTGAAAGCAAAATGCATTTTGTAAGTTAAGCAACTGATTTCTCGCCAAATCTTGTCTTCCGAGGCCAAACAGACAGTTCAGCTCTTCACTCTTGTTTTGACCAGTCAGTCATCTGACGACTGACGGTGTGTGTCCCCTCAGGCATCATATAAACATCAAAGGACAAGTACAGCGGACCCTCGCCTATCACTGGGTCAGTATTCAAGGTTTTTTTTTTTTTCTGTGGAACGTGTTTCCAAGTTATTTGTGGAAAATTCAAAAAAGATTAGAAGATTTTTTTTTTTTTTTGTAGAGTAGATCAAAAATACTTGAAAATAAATTTCAGCTTTGGAAGCTGAAATACTTTGACATAAAGCTACTTGACATCCTATTAGCTTAAAAGGCAGCCAATCCCAGAGCTCCATTCATTTCTCTTGCTGATGATAAACCTGCACACAAATGTAAAAAAAGCCAGCTATCTAGCAAGGGAATGATAGCACTGTCTGTATGTGACTCAAACTTTTAAGTGACAGAAAAAAAAAATAGATAGACTACAGACAATGAAATAGGTCTGTCAAGACAATATGTAGCACCTGTGATTAACATATTTAAGGAGAGCTTATTTTTGTAAAATCAATTCTAATCATTTTAAGGTCTTCAGTTTAGACAGATAAATTTAGTCCAGCAACATTTTCCCTGAAGGAGGCCTTATAGTCCTGTGAGTGTATGAAAATAAATAAATAAATAAATAAATAAATAAATAAATAAATAACTTGGCAAGATACAAGTAGAAATGCAGAGTGCAACAGTTTTTACTCCGATCATCAATCAAAATCAAATATACATCAAATATATTGATCAATGTTCCAGTTATTAGGAACCAAAGGCAACTATAAACATGTTGAACTCAGTGTTTCAGCTGTTTTGCAGTTTTCTGAATGTGTGTTTCAGATTTGCGGCACATATTAAATACAACTTGAAGATGACTCTGGAATATTTACAGTCAGTTTGACCTGTTGCCATGGAAGTGACTGAAAATCTCCAATTTAATGATTCGGAAGGACGAACAAATAATTTGATAATACAGTATAAATGTGATTTCCGTTACTGAAAACTAAAATGCTTCAAACATATCAATTTCTTGCATGTTTTTATGATCTAATACACAATGTAACAAACTCAAATATAACCAATATTGAGTTTGAATTATTCCCACTTTCAGTCTGAAGCAGATTGAACAATCATGATACTAAAGATGCTACCAGAATTAAAACCTTTAAATATTTTTAGTTTATGAGCCTTCATTAAAAACATTTCTTTTATGTTTTAAATCCAGTTTAGATAGAAGGAAGCCAGTTTTCACTACTTGGTTTGTGGACAACAAAACAAACAAAAAACAAATAAAACAAAAAAAAAACTACTTACTTTGCAGCTATTTAAAGACTCTGAGACATGCGGTTACATAAAGATAAAGATGTTTCCACAATTTGCAACACAGCTGTTAATTCTCATCTTTGCATAAAATTAAAAGGAATATGGAGACAACAGTGTTAGAAATACATGTGGCACTACAGAAACAGCAACTTTCAACCTCTTTTAAACCTACAGTATTTTTAACACATTTTTTTTCTTTTTGTTTATCCTGTTTTTTTTTTAATTAAAAACAGTTCAATTAGAATAAAACATTCAAGGTGTAAATGTTATCTGAGTGCTAATGGTGACAAACCTGAGTCCTAGTAAAGAAAGACTATTCTTTTCTGGGAAATTCTGCCTCTTGGCAGCTAAATCCATAAATCACTACCATACATTTGTCTGATGCAGCTTGTCTCACTGAGATCCCAGAACTACTTTAGAAGTTACACCTGTTTATGCCAATCAACATGGATTCTAGGAATCCACTGGATAAAATGATACGGAGAGTTAAAAAGGGCATAAACTGGAATCAGCAGGTCAAAACTTTACAGGTACTAGAGATTGAAAATTGGCCCAAAAATCGAATGATGAATATCTACTTTTCATCCATCTGTTTGATCTTCTTGATTAGAAATGTTGCACTTGTTCTGACATCTGAAAAGAGTTACAATCATTTGTTTGTGTTAGGACGTAATTCTTAGGAACTCCAAACATTGATTCCAAAAGAAAGAGCTGCTTTGTTTCATCGTCATCTAAAGTGTTTTTTTTTCTTAACAAATAGATTCATTTTTCAACCAGGGCAGCCCCCACCTGTCTTCTGTTTGTGAAACATGCAGACAGTCAGCGGTCTGTTTCTGCGCAGTTGACTTCTGCATGCAGACGATCTGTCAGCGGGGAACAAGGCTGAGTGGCGCACTACGGCGGACCACTCAGTGTCGTCATAGTAAATCAACAGACTCTGCCGTACAGCTCACGCTACGACTGCTTGTGCTTCAGAGCTTCAGGCTTCAATGTGACAGAAAGCAGTAGAGGACTATTACGGATATAGAGCAGAAAGCAAGGCAGTGAGAGATCCCGTCTCACCAAGAGAAAGATATCAGCGCTCAGACTGTGGCAAGAACAAGTTTAATGAGAACAGCGGACCGCGGCTCAATCTGGAGACTCAACAGCTGCAAATTATTCTTTTTTTTTTTTCTAGGAAAATACCCAGAGGCCTCCAGACTCCAGATTCACAGCTCTGTTGTTGCCTTCAGTAAAGCCAACACAAGCTGTGACTCTGCACTTCACTTATTACATCTAGACAGCGCTTCCTAATAAGAAGCGCCCCAGCAGTGTGCAGCAGTGTGTTACTTTAAAAACAAGCATATTCAACTTCTGTCAGCGTGGCCTCTTGGGCTGAACCGATGCAACAGACTCTTGCAGGCGACATGTGAACAAGTAAAGTTTCTTCGGCACATGTTCGAGTTTTCTATTTAATCTAACGAGTCTCAGCTTTGAAACATTGTGGGGGATGAAAGTTTCTCACTTCTTCTCTAGCTCAGCAGTAGAAAACCAGCCTCCTGCCTTCAGTGTGCTAATAAGGATCTGCATATTTTCATGAATTCATAATTTTATTTGAAATTCAACTGCTAAAGCTTGATTGCTATATCAAATGTTAGTTGTTCTACTTTTCTTTGTCACTCAACACACAAGTCTGGGATGTGTACATACCTCTGATTAGACTTTTAAAAAAATCTAACCAAAACAAATCATCAATGAACTTTTCCACTTTCACTTTGACAGA